GCTTTTATGACTATTAAATGAAAAAATTCAGGTAAAGCAGTTAGAAAAAAAGAAGACTAAATCCTTTATACAAATGCCCAGTATTATTACTACATAGCTATACTAATTAGGCAAAACCAAATTAAATTATAGGTGAGAAGTAGATTAGGATTAATTTTGATCTTCTGCACTCCTGTGCATGCTTTAAAACAGTCATGTCAGAACTCACTACCGAATTATATCCCCTTACACAATGAGCTAAATGTCTTCCACTCATCTTCACCTTTGCCTACACTTACTCCTCTCTCACTCATCACAGGTTCTCCAACTCCAACTCACTGCTCTTTCCACTATATCACAATGTCTCCCACTAATCCCTATTAGTTTATTTGTAGATTCTTTTGTTCATCATTCACTCTATGAGTTCTACCAGTTCCATATTCCAATAGCTCCCTTTTAGTCTGTGGAAAACCCATGGTACAAAAACTCTAGGAGAAAATTTAAATGAAATGGTTTAATATCTACAAAATATAAAACACTTAATAAAATAGAGAATAGATATCTAAGACAAATTCATCTCACAAAGAAAAATCAAAGAAGCAATAAATGAATTTCCAAAAGAAAAACTTCTAACAATAAGAACCAGATCAATTCATAAGTGAATTCCATCAAACATTTAAGGAATAATTAATCCCTATGCTATATAAATTATTCTCCAAAATGGAGGAAGAAAATGCTCTTTGAAACTACTTATATTAGGAAGCATGATTCCAACGCCTAAACCAAGGAGGGATAAGGTACAGACTAACATCACTAATGGATAGTGATATAAAAATGTAAAAAAATCATAAAGAATATATAAAAATTATGACTATTCATTATGACCAAGCTGGATTTATACTAGGGATGCTCAGGACTAGTTCAACATTAAGAATACAAACAGTATAATTAATCACATAAATAACAAAAATGACATAATTATATAATTGATATATTTTTAAGATGTATTTTGTATTAAAAATACACAAAAAACATAGGAGTGGATGGTCTTTTCTGAGTATGATTAAAAGAATTTATCTTAAGCCAAGGGCTAGCATTTACCTGTATTTGAGAAACACTGGAATATTCCCAAATAACAGCAGGGCTAAATTAGTAAGGATATCCTCTGTCCCCACTATGATTTGACAAAATACTAGAGATGTATATTATAGCAATATGACAGGAAAAATAAATTATGGCAATAGGCTTTAGCAAAAAAGAGAGCAAAATTATTCCTTTTTGCAGACGATTTGTCGGTTTATTCAGAAATCCCTAGAGAATCAACAAAGAAGCTAATGGAGACTAGTGAGAGGTAGAGGACCTGGGCTCCAATCTTGTCTCTTATTCTTGATAAAACCTGTATGAACTTGGACAGATCCCTTCATTTCCTTGGACCCAAACTTCCTCATCTGCAAAATGGGGATAAAGGCACCCACCTCACAGCACTGGTGTAAGGACCAAATGAGTTACCATCTGTAAAGCACTTTGCCAAACCTTAAAGCCCTATACTATGTGCCAGCTATTATTATTACAAGGAAACAAGGACTCCCATATCTTGACAGAGACAGGACCAGAGGTATAGAAGGAAACATACATGTTCAGAAATGGCCAATGTGTTCATGTGCTCAGCTTGACCACACAACTTGTATTTCCTTACCAGGGAATTTCCTAAACCAGTGAAATCACAAGTCTAGCTCCTATCCTTATTTAGAGCTAAACTAAAGTACAAAAAGATGCTTTGTAAAATCAGATAGATTTAATAGAATATAGAACAAAACTTATACACAGGAGCAAAAAGTCAAGAATGTTAAAGGACATAATGAAAAAAGTCATGAAGTAAGAGTGTCTGGAGCATCACAGTATCTTAAAGATGATCATAAAGCAGGAATTCTCAAAATCAGCTGGTACTGGTTCTCCTGGAAGCCTTTCTTAATTGCCCCAACTCCTGGTACCCTCTCTGCCAAACTCACTTGTATGTAACTAATATATTTATTCTTGGTATACTTGGTATACTAATTCTGCACATACTTCTGTGTGTATTTGCATCCCCAGCATTTCAATGGTTCAATGGTTGTTCTTCATGCCTGGAAAGCTCCACCTCACAGGATCCCTCTTCCTCCAAGACTCAACGTAAACACCATTGTCTACATCAAGTCCATCCTGAACCTCTCAAACTACCTTGTTTCCTCTCCCACCTGCCTCAGTAGGGGGAGTTTCCTCATCCAAGATCTCCTCACATCAAACCCTCCCATTTGTATATGTCTTCATTGTCTCCCCTGTTAAAATAGAAGCTCCTTGAGAGTTGGGATCATTTCATTCATTGTCTTTGTATTATTCCCTGTGCCTAGCACAGCTCCTGGCATACAGCAGGTGCTTAATAAATGCTTGTTGATTAAATGACTGTCACCTGCAAATTAGCAAAGTCACAAACAACACAAAATCCCTGTTCACTCAATCCATTAGAGACTTCCTTCCAAGCTGATCCCAAACCATTTATGACTATTCTTTGGGTTAGGCCAGATAGGTTTCATACAGGTTTTTATTGGTCATGTTTGCTATAAGTGTTTTAACCAATCTGTTATTTTTCTTTTCAAGTTGATATTTTCTTTTTTGCTGTGCAGGAAATTTTTAATTTTAATTTAACCAAATACACTTATTTTGTATAAATCATTATACAAATCATTCTTATTTAAAATTATAAATCATTTTTATTTGATAAAAAAAATCTTTCCACCACAACTGAGATAAACATTTCATTTTCTTTAAAAAAATTTTTTTTAATGTTTAAGTCTAGTCTAGTCAAGAAGCATTTATTAAGGGACTATATTATGTGTCTGTCACTGTACTAAGAAAAGCAAAAAGCAGTACTTGCTTTCTAGGAGCTCACAGTCTAATGGAGCTCTATCATTCACCTGGAATTCACTAATGTATATGATGTGAGATGTGGGTCTAAATTAATTTCCTGCCCAATTAATATTCAATTTCCCCACGTTCCTTTATTAAATCACGAATTCTTTTCTGGGGTTTTTATCCTCTATAAAAGGTTTGCCTTTTGTATACATTCAGTTCGATGTCTAGGATTATTCTTCTCTTTCATGTGCTTCATTCTGCTTTTGACCCAGTGCCAGATAATTTGGATGGCTGCTTTGTAATAAGTCTGGGAGCTGTTGTTCAGTCATTTTGCTGTCACGTCTGACTCTTCATGACCCCACTTGGGGTTTTCTTGGCAAAGATACTGGAGAGGTTTGCCATTTCCTTCTCTAGCTCATTTTAATAGATGAAGAAACTGAGGCAAACAAGATTAAGTGACTTACCCAGGCTAGTAAGTGTATGAAGCCAAATTTGAACTCAAGAAGACCAGTCTTCCTGATCTGCGAGGCCTGGCGCTCTGTACACTGCACCGCCTAGCTGCCCCAAGTCTAGGAGTACGAGACTGCATTTACAAGCATTTTAAAAAGTGTTCCTATATAGTCCTGACTCTTTATTTTTCTATACATATTTCAATATTATTTTGTCCAGTTGTAGTTAAACCTTGGTATTTCGATTGGTGCTGTATTAAGTATTTAAGTTAAGCTCAGGTGTACTGCCATTTTCACTATATTAACATCCATCTGTGAACACCATCCCTCTAATTATTTAGATCTTCCTTTATTTCAGTCATTATAATTTTACTGTTGTCACTATATAGGCCATGCATATTTCTAGGTAGGTTGATTCTCAAATATTTGGTGGCATTTGTTACTATGGTAGATGGGGTTCCTTGATCTCTATTGCTAGCAATAAGATGCAAATGATTTTGGTGAACTAATCTTGTATTCTATGACTTTCCTAAACTCATTTATTGTCACAATTAATTTCTGGCAGAACCATTTGGATTTTCTAAGTACCCTATCATGTTACCTGCAAATAATATCTTGACCTCTTTGTTTTTAATGTTAATAACTCTAATTTCCTTTTTTGTCTTATTCGCAATTGCTAATTGCAAATTAAAATAACTCTAAAGTATGTGTCATTTCCCACTCATCAAGCTGGGCAAAAATGGTAAAAGATGGAAAAAGCAAATGTTGGTACAGAGCTATGGGAAACCACGCATATTAATTCACTGTCGGTGGAGCTATGAATTGATCCAACCATTCTGGAAAATGATTTCGGAATATGTTACAAAATTTACTAAACTGTTCAAACCTTTTAAGCCAGAAATCCCACCACTGGGCTTATATTCCAGGGAGGTCAATGACAGAAATAATGTTCCCATTTGTACCAAAACAGTCATAGCTGTTACAGCAAGAATTGGTAATGGTAAGAAACTAGAAACAAGCTACACACCTGATGACCGGAAATGCCTCAACAGAGAGCAGCGTGTGAATGGAAGAAGAGTGTGGCATGGTGGGGAGAGTGCTCAATTTGGAGTCAGAGGATCTGAATGTGAGTCCTGGATGTGCCACTTTTTCCTTTTGTGACCTTCAGCAAATAATGAACCTCTCTGGGACCCACATTCTTTATCTGTGAAATGAGAGGGTTGGACTGCGTGACCTCTGAGGACCTTTTTAACTCTGCTGCTATTATTGTAATATAATCTTATCTCACTATCACAAATGACAAATAAGGAGAATTCAGAGACCTGCGGAAAGACTTGTATGAACTCATGTACAGTGAAAAAAGCAAAACCAAAGGAACAATATATACCTGAATACACTGAGTAAATGAAGTCAACACTAAAAAGCAAAAGAATTCAGGTCACATCCAATGGACTTTTGTGGGAAGGGGAGAGCTGAAATACTCTTCCTTTCTGTTAAGAAACAGTAAATTATAAGAGTGGAAAAATCACATTTTTTTTGGTCCATGGCAATCATGATATTAGATGTTTTAGCTTATCTGATTTTTTTTTTTATGGGAAGGTATCATGGGAGGTTATTTATTGGGAAATGAACAATATGTCCAAACAAACTGTCAATTGCAGAAGGAGCACAGGAGCCACTTACCGACACCAGAGGCACCCGAAGATTATCCCCTTGAAACTGGTTAAAAGTGGGGAATGTGCTCCAGGCTAGATACTCTCCAGAGGAGGAGGAGGGGCCCAACAAAGCCACAAACAGCACCTCGTGTTGGTACCGGACTGTTGGCTGCTCTTCATAGCTGCTGCGCTTCAACCAAAAACCTAGACAGAATATGGAAGTCAGAACCAAGGCATAGAGAACAAAGTCCTGAGCCCAGGGAGTGTTCAACACCAAGAAGCAGATACAGGGGGCCAAGGAAGCTACAACGGCCGACGAGAGCAGACACAAGATGCAGGGAGATGTGAAGAGACACCACTGAGAACGGGAGCTGGGAGAAGAAGCAGGCAACGAGGGAAGGCCAAGAGGAAGGGAAGTGGTCCTAGCTTGGGAAGCCAAGTTTGGGAGATGAGAAGGGCAGTTTCCAAATCCACGGGGAATTCATGGAGAGATAAAGAAGAGAATGGAAGAAGTCAAGTGTGGAGGGAGTACCTGGTCCATAGTAGGCTCTTAATGAATGTGTATTGTTTGACTGTAAGGGAGCCTAAGTCTGGAGGGCAATATGTATGCTGGTCTGTAAGAATAAAAATGCTTTCTCCTTCTTGCTTTCTAATTGTAAACGTGCTCTTGCTATATGTATTCATATGTACATATATACATATATATTCACACACATACACATATACACATATAGGCTACAATTATGATGTTATCTATACATATAAATTTATATATTATATATAACACATTATGGATGTTGCATATACTGTATTACTACATGTATTATATTATGTATAATATATTGTTACATTATAATTATATTATGTATACAATATGCTATATAGTATATATAATCTATAAATATAATTATAACATAATACCTATAATTGTAAATATTCTTTACATATACATAGAGAGGATACTACAATCACATGTTATATATCATACATGTTATACATGTTTACACATTCACCCATATACATTTGACACACATGTGTATACCCATACACATATTCGCACACTGGTACATATAACATGTATAAAATAAGTCCAAAATAAAGGTGTACTCATATATTTTCATGTTTGTTCATAGCTTTTTGAGGCCAGGCACTGTCTTTTGCCCCTTTTTGTATCCCCAGTATGTGCCTGGAACATAGTAGGCACTTAATAAATGTTTATGGATACACATCCTGTATATGTGTGTGTGCGTGTGTGTATGTGTGTGTGTGTATGCATGTGTACAAAAAAAATTCTGGAAAATGGGAAGGAGATGGGTAGGGAAAGAAGTCAGATTCCTGGGTGAATGGTGCAGGTTGCATAAAAGAAGTTCTTATGCAACCCTGCATGTGTTCTTAATTCTGGGGGACAAAATATCTACACCAGATGGGATGGTGCATAAAGTTGGTAAGCCAGTCAATAGGCATTTATAAAGCACCTACCCTCAGTAAAGAGAATATAAAGAAAGACAAAAGAATGGCATCCCTGTCCTCTGGTGGCTTAGAATTTAAACCATGTGCTTCATTTGGGGTTATCTCATCCCAGAGGTCAGAATGAATGTCATTTTGGCAGGGGACAGGCCTAGACTGGAGCCAGAGGATGTGAGTGGACACACTAGGAGGACAAGGCCAAGGGATGCATGCCAGGGTTCTGGGGACACAATGACAGCCCCTTGATTCTGGGGTACAGAGGGCAGTGAGTGACATTTGGGAAGGCTACAACATGAAGGTAGGTGTCTGGACTGCCTCAGTCTGTGGTGGGGGCTTCTGGACCACTTAGGTCTGGGTGGGGTTTGGAGGCACACTGAAGGGGGCATCTGGACAGCCTGGGTCTGGGGGTTGGGGAGGCAACTGGACGGCCTGGGTCTGGGGTTGGGGGGCGTCTGGACAGCCTGGGTCTGGGGATTAGGGGGGCATGTGGACGGCCTCGGGCTGGAGCGGGCGGGGGTGGGGCGCATCTAGACAGCCTGGGTCTGGGGTTGAGGGGCGTCTGGACGGCCTGGCTGTGGGTTTGGGGGGCATCTGGACGGCCTCGGGTTGGGCCGGGCTCACCTTGACTCCGGAAGGCCACGAGCAGCGGCGGGATGTAGGTGAGGCTGGTGACCAGCAGCAGGAAAATGGCGGCCTTGGAGCACAGTCCCGCGCGGTAGACGATCTCCGCCGGGTGCGAGTACAGATCGTAGAGGGCCATGGCCTCCGCGGAGCTCCCCGAGGCAGGCCTTGGCTTCGGGAGCCCGGGGCGGAGGCCTGCGCTGCACGAGTCACCAACGCCTACAAGATTTGGCTTCTCCCGGTTGCCATAGCCTTGGTCTCCACGGTAACCGTCCTACCTCGATAAATAAGCCAATAGCAAGGCCGCCTTGGACGCCCTCGCTCTCAGCCAATCATATAGCGACGTGAGGAGGGCGGGGACCCGGGCTGGGCGAGAGGATGAGGTCTATGTGCAGCAAAGATACCATGTTATCTCCCTTCTCTGTGACTTAACGTTAAGGACGGCTTCTGAAATCCTGTGTGCAAACAGAACGATCTTTTATTTTTTCGGATAAACCGCATTGTGGTTATATTTTTTTCAGATCCCCGAATAAGGCAACATCTCTAGCTATTCAAAAGGAAAGGAAATTCACGTGTATTTCCAACTCTATTTATCATCAAATAAACAGTTGGTCTTCTGAAGTATTCAGGAACCAATCAAATGGGACACTACATACGTATGTGTCACTATCTTTAAAGCACTGGGTACACAACTCCAGAGGTGTCAGTCAATAAACATTTATAAAGTGCTCATGTGCCAGACACTGTGTTAAGCACTGGAGATACAAAAAGAGGCAAAAGACAGTCCCTGGAGCCGACAGTCTAATGGGGAAAACAAAATGAAAAATTGTTTCAGCAAAATGTTCGTAGCAGTACCATTTGTAACAGCACAAAGTTTGAGATCCAGAAATAAAATTGTTTGGAAAACAACCCCTCAAGATTGTTTTCACTATGAATTCACAGTGCTACAGAGAATGATTCCATTCTTAAGAACCCATCTTTTTTTTCTTTTTTTAGGCAGTTGGGGTTAAGTGACTTGCCCAGGGTCACACAGCTAGTAAGTGTCAAGTGTTTGATCTGAAACCGGATTTGAACTCAGGTACTCCTGACTTAAGGGCCGGTGCTCTTTCCACTGCACCACATAGCTGCCCCAGAGCCCATCTTTTTAACGAGGAATTTACTCCAGAACAGAATGATGACAGTTTTATGTTTGCAAATCTTGATTTATCACAATCCCCAAAGAATAAAACTTGCCTGTGACCCAAAGGTCAATAGAAGAAGGGCATAAATATTTTCAAAGATGATTAGTGTATAAAAATCGGTGGAAGGGAATTCACGGAGTAAATGTATAATTAGAAAAGAAGATAGCATGTGGCAAGAACCACAAATGGATGATGACTCAAATGACATACTGTGGTTAAAGAAATGTAAAAAGACCTAAGAAAGGACATTTTTCCTGATAGCAAACCTAAATTTACTTATTTACAACTTCCAAATGATATAAATACAAACAGTGCCCTAAAAGCTAAAAAAAAAAAATTTAATTAAGGGTTATTTTTCCAGTCCCTTGTGAGGCCCCTCTGAGCTTGAAGGCATTGTGGAGTCTCTTCCCCTTATCTTGAGATACCATAGAACTTCCCCCCTATCCTGGACCATAAAAATTTCTTGTCTCCCTCATCCTGAGTCTTAAAATTTCCCCTGTCTTCTTTATCCTGGGTCCCCTATTCTGTCATCCATCTTCCTCACCCTGTGTCCTGACAATTCCCCCTTATCTTGTAAGATAAGACAGGCCCCTATCCCTCTGTAAGTTGCCGGTCCTCTTTCCAGGGCTAGCCCATGCTTTTGCGTCAATAAAGCTCCCAATGGTAACCAAGAAGATGTAAGGGAATTCTTTCACACCTGAACCAGCTCTCCCAACTAAACCTCAACACATACATTGTTCCTGGTTTTGACCTCTGGGACCAAACTAGTGTAATGATAGTCCTTCAAGTATTTGAAGACAGCTGTCATATTCCCTCACTCCCACCCCCAATCTTCTACATCTCCAGGCTGAATATGCCCAGTACTTTCTTTCTTTTTCTTTTTCTTTTTTTTTTTCGAGGCAATTGGGGTTAAGTGACTTGTCCAGGGTCACACAGCTAGTAAGTGTCAAGTGCCTGGTCTGAGACTGGATTTGAACTCAGGTCCTCCTGACTCCAAGGCCAGTGCCCCTTCCGGTACTTTCAACGATTCCTATTTTGTCATAGAGTCAAAGAAGGCAACCATCCTGTTTACCCTCCTCTGACCCACTTACAGAGCTAGGTGGCATAGTAGATAGAGCCCTGAGCTTAGTTAGGAAAAACTTACTTCAAACACTTACTTACTAGTTATGTAACCTTGGGCAAGTCACTTAACATGTTTGTCTTCCTTTCCTTATCTGTAAAATGGGGATCATAACAGCATAGGAAAAAATGAGATAATAATTGATAAAGCACTTTGCAGACCTTAAGGGGCTATATAAATTTTATTATTATTATTGAAGATAATTCTGTCAAACTGTGGTTTTTTTTGTTGTTGTTTTCTGAGGCAATCAGGATTAAATGACTTGTCTAGGGTCACACAGCTAGTGTCTAAGGTCAAGTTTGAACTCAAGTCCTCTTGACTCCAGAGTGCAAACCGAGGTTTAAGTCCTCTAGCTTTGTTGGGCCTTCCAGCCTCTGGTAATTTGAATATCCTAGGGAATCTCTTCAGAGATCAGTTTACCTTCAAAGTATCCCAAAGAGACTGGATTTTTTGGGATAGAGAAAGAAAAGTTCAGTTCTTTTAGAAAAGGGCTAATTTGGAGAACCCTTAGTGCTCAACCCCACTTCCTCTGTATTATTGTATCCCTTCCACTGAATTGTTTTAGGAAGATTCTGAAGATCACCTGACAGGATAAGATAGCAGACACTGAGGTCCTTTCTCAAGCTAAACTGCCAAGCATTCAACTCTGTTTCAGAGAGCACAACTCCAATGGGCTGGCTAAGTTGTTCCAATGTAAAATGTACACTTGCCAAAAAGACTGTTTTAGGGAAAACTCACACAGAGCAAGTATTCACATGGTGGTCAAAAGAAGCAATACAAGGACCCTCTCAAGGTCTTTCTTAAGAATTCTGGAATTCGGGGCAGCTAGGTGGTGCAGTGGATAGAGCACAGGCCCTGGAGTAAGGAGGGCCTAAATTCAAATTTGACCTTATATGCATAAGACTCACTAGCTGTATGACCCCGGGCAAGTCACTTAACCTCAATTGCCTCATTGTGAGAAATGAAAGAGTTAAATTTCCACATAAGTAGATAAGAAATCTGCACAGACTGACTAACTTCTCTGTGGGGGGGGGGGGAGTAACAACACAATTCTAGGCACATAATGTGTGTTAAGGGTGAGGCATATAAGGGAGATTGTAACCCAGAAGGATTAGGACCAATCCTGCTCCAAAACCGAGGAGTTAGGCAATTAGTAACCATAAAGCTTGTTCTGGCTTGCTCTGGCTTCTTTACTCAATGCACACTCCCCTTCAAAGGAGGTGTGCCCACTTCTCCCAAGAATCGAAAGGATGCACTTCAACCTCTCTAACAAAAAGTCTTTGAGACACCAGTCTTCGGAACCGAGTCTGGGGTCTTCTTTATAACACTCATCAAAAAATACAAACAAACAAGAACTTTGGAATTGATTGTGTTGTTGAGGTTTAGGGGTTCTGGGACCCCAAAATCACAACACGAGGGTCCTGCCCGAAAGAATTCCACCCAAGCATTCTTTCAGCCAAGACAAGGTTTATTAGAATATCCATCATTCCTCTGGAGAAAACTGAATGGGGATAAAAAGGAATATACTTTTTTCTGGGCTGTACATGGCACATACACAAAAATAGACCATGTACTAGGTCATAAAAACCTCACAATCCAATGCAGAAAGGCAGAAATATTAAAT